CTTAGAGACTAACCAGTTTATTTGAGCATAAGCTTTCGTGAGCTACAGCTCACTTCATCGGATGCATACTGTGGAAAGTATAGAAGATCTTTTTATAAACACCCATTTTTTCATGCTTTGTGTGTATAAAAAGATCTTCTATACTTTCCACAGTATGCATCCGATGAAGTGAGCTGTAGCTCACGAAAACTTATGCTCAAATAAATTGGTTAGTCTCTAAGGTGCCACAAGTACTCCTTTTCTTTTTGAGATAGCTCTGTTTACTGTAGTTGTGTTTGTGGGAGGGAACTGTTCTGTTAGAATAGGTAGGTCTTCACTGTAATGGGTGTATAGATTAGGAATATTCATCATATAAACATATTGTGTTTCTTACTAACCTGGCAAGCTCTTCTCATCAAGTATTTAGGGTGACCAGATAGTAAGTGTGAAAAATCGGGGCTGGGAGTGGGGGGTAATAGCCCCAAATATTGGGACTGTCCCTATAAAATTGGGACATCTGGTCACCCTACAAGTATTTTTCTCTATTGATGTCCACAAAAGCCGGATCAAAGTGGGCCTTTGCTATTAAAGAATGATGTGTACAGAAGACTAATGCTATGTGAGGTCACTTTTTTCCCTTGCTGATTTGGGCTGCAGTGAGGCCCAGTGGGTTGGAAAAACTTTCTGGCATAGAGGGCAGCAATGGGTAAGAGAGAGTGTGACAGCCCCAGGTAGCTGCAGAAAATTCATCTTAAAAATAAATACAGTTTCAAATCCTATTCAGTCACAAAAAATGTTTATCTACCATCTAGCACATATAGAGGCTCCTGGTCCCTATAGCTCTCAAATCACTTTACAAGCGTGGGTATGTGGCTCCACGGGCTTGCCCAAGGTCATACCGTGGCTATTATCAATGCTCGCATTATCTTTTAAATTTCCCACTTGTGCTACTATAATGGGAGCTAAAGCTCTGGGAGTATCAGGGTAGACAGCCCATTAGTGTTTTGATCACCCAATCATCTTTATGGGCCCCTGAGCAGGGTTAGGAGATGAGGTGGCCAAAATGCCAATGGTCTTTCTCCATCAGCATGAGTTGCGGTCACACTACTGGAGTTGTACCAGTGTGAAATGTGAACAAAAAAGGTTAGTTTACACACCACCAGTGAATTGGTGGCAGAGCAAGCAAGAGAACAGAGTCCTCCTGACTCCCTGTCCTGTGCTAAATCTACTAGACCGCAGATGCCTTAAAATGTTATAGATTTATGGGAGCAATCTGACTGGTCAATGGCCCCCGGGATGTGCACCTGCTTACAACTTGTGTGGAAGCTAACAATTACAGCCCTCACCAATGGCTAAACATCAGCTGGCTAGACAGCGAGTTGGATGCAGGCATGAGTCTCAATGAGAAGGATCACCACACCTTTGCAGGAGGTGGTTGATGTCTTTATTTAAAAAATTACAGAATTATTTAAAAAAAGGGAAAAAATATAAGCTGGGGAGCTAAATCACTACATGTCTGACTAAGGTACTATACTACTGTAGTGGATGCTTTAGAAATGTGTATGATTAAACACCATTTGTGCTTGCAGTAGCTAATTCCAGAAAACAAGCCTGCTCTCTGGATTCCAAGTAAATACACATCAGGAGAGCGTGGAATATTACCTGATCACTGGTTGTTGATTTGTTTCACAGTACATAGCTGTGCACATTGCAGCTGATCAGCTTATGTCCTTTGGGGGCTCCACCGATCCTTGTGCCCTTTGCAGCCTTCACAGCATTGGCAAGATAGGAGGGCAGCAGAACAAGAGCTATACCAAGCTGCTGTGTGACTTGCTCACTAAACAGCTGCACATACCTGCAGACAGGTAAGGCTGCACCAGAGTGACATTCCAGTTATCCGCTTATCTAAAATTACTTTTTTGGATTCTTTATTATGCTCTCTGGTTGTCTGTTATTGCTTTTCGCACCTGAGGGGTTGTTTTTCCCTCCCACGCACACCTGAGGGTGTTTTTTTTCCAGCTTTATTTCAGTAAAATACTGCAAATATGGCTCTTTCATAAGACTCCTAACTGAAAAAGTCCTTCATCATGCAAGCCTTTTACTAAAGAACTGAATCTATTCTGAGTAGGGAGTTACAGCTGTTCTAAAATCTGAAAGGTGTGTGCTGGTGCCATTAATTGGCTTTTTCTGGATTAATGTGGTTCAGGCTGGCTCTCAATCTTTCCAGACTACTGTATCCCTTTCAGGAGTCTGATTTGTCTTGTGTACCCTCAAGTTTCACCTCACTTAAAAACTACTTGCTTACAAAATTAGACATAAAAATACAAAAGTGTCACAGTACACTGTTACTGAAAAATAGCTTACTCTCTTATTTTTACCATATAATTATAAAATCAATTGAAATATAAATATTGAATTTACATTTCAGCATATAGTGTATATAGAGCAGTATAAACAAATCATTGACTATATGAAATTTTAGTTTGTACTGACTTCACTAGTGCTTTTTATGTAGCCTATTGTAAAACTAGGCAAATATCTAGATGAGTTGATGTACCCACTGGAAGACCTTTCCGGGTCCCTGGTTGAGAACCACTTGGCTAATAGACTAATTCTAATCCCGAATGGCTGACTAATGCAGTATAATCTGACCCTCAGGGGTTAGGGTGAAATATGATGAACGTATGTATAATATTCAGTGTGCCCCTCCCCCCCCCCTCTTTTTGGGGGGCATGAAGGGAGATCCTTGGGCAGATTGGGGACCCAGAAGAATGCAGGCACTTGGCAAACAGCTGCAGTTCTGTCAGCCAGCAAGGGAGTAGAGCAGCTGTGCTCAGTGGCAAACAGCAGGAGGAAGCTGCTGCTGCCTATGCCTGGAGAAGCAGGGAGCTGCAGGCAGCCAGGAGAGTCCATTTGGTTTTGGAAAAAGGTTGCAGCACTCAAAAGAGCTCAAACCTTTTGATATCTCCTGCAGTTCCAGACATGTCACTAAAATGACGTGTTTTTAACTAAGAGCTTGGAAATGCAAGAAAGAAAAGGCAGTGTGCTAGAGGCTGCGAGCCTTGGCAAACCCAGCTTTCCAGTGCTTGGTAAAGTATTGGAGAAGGGAATGGGTGGTGCAGCTTCTGGGCTTAAGCCAAAATTTACTGGTAAAGATCTTGCTAGCTTTTCTAAAAATTAAAAATGGAAATGTGAAACCACATCCCTTGGAGAGTGGGAGGGGGAGTGATATTCCTTCCCCTTCTCTCCCTCCCCCCGGTTTCCTATATAGGTAATAATGGATAGCTTTCATGCACTATAAGCATCTAACATTTGTCATGGTCAACATTTTTACCTTTTTTTTTTTTTTTTTTTTTTAAACAGAGTCTACATCAACTATTATGACATGAATGCTGCTAATGTGGGCTGGAATGGTTCCACCTTCCAATAGGGCACTCCCATGTGAGCAAAGAGGCTATTCCTGGACCTGCACATCTCCTGCCTATTAGCAGACCATGGCACAAGTTGCCCTTCCCTGCATTTTGTGCACTGTCACGGATGACGGTTCCTTGCTAGTGTGTTCACATGACTGTTTAACATTCCTTTTGTTTTCTATATGTAGAAAATAAATAATAAAGATTTAGAAGGAAGTGGCATGGCGTGAGCTCTTCCTTTAGGATCGGGGAGGGAGTTTGGCTAGCCTAACAAACAAGTGTTTTTCTGTCTCTTTGAACCACTGTGTCCTAGGAACAAGGGTGAGGCAAAATAAGTCATATTAGTTTTCAGTGACTCAAAATGCAAATGATTCAGATTGATGACTGGCACCAGTGGTGGTTAGAATGAGCTCTTACTCTTCCAAACATCATAGGACTGGGCATGTATTTACACAAGACTTGTAAACACATGCACAATCTTATGATGCTTGGAAGAGTAATATTGCTGCCTTTCAAAATTAAGAAAATGAAATGGCTGCCAGCTCCTGGCATTTCTGTGGAGACTGCCTTGCCATCCTTGGGATTTCAGGGGAAGGGAGTCACATCAGAGGATATGTTCAGTTAAGAAATCTGCTTTAAGTGTAGAGCATTCACCAGCGATCAAAATGGATGTAGCACACGTCTTTGTTCCTTTTTAATTCCATATTGTATAGCGCATGAAGGTAAATCTTAAATGCATTGTAATCCAGGTGTCCTTTCAGTGCCCATTTTGTAGGGGCAATGTTCAAATCTGTGTCTAACTCTCTCACCTATGCACACTCTCATTGGCTAGGTAGGTGCACAAGAATGTTCTTTAGCTGGCAGTGGCACATGCCTTGCAAAATTCTACTTGCCTAGTGGCTTGAGCTGGCATAAGAACATAAGCACGGCCATACTGGGTCAGACCAAAGGTCCATCCAGCCCAGTAGCCTGTCTACTGACAGCGGCCAATGCCAGGTGCCCCAGAGGGAGTGAACCTAACAGGTAATGATCAAGTGATCTCTCTCCTGCCATCCATCTCCACCCTCTGACAAACAGAGGCTAGGGACACCAGTCCTAGCATATTTCGCTCGCCCATCGGAAGCCGATACAAAGGACGATCCCTTCTCGGAAGGGTTGCTGAGTAAAGCCTGGTGCGGGCAGGCTCTCCTGGGCAGCCGAGGACTCGGGCAGGGCCCCTGGTGCTACTCGCTGTTGTTGCCGCCCAGCCCCAGACCCCGGCAGATGCTGTGCAGGGGTGACCAGCCTGTGCCTTAGGAGGCTGCCAGCCGAGGTGTGGCTGGGCCAATGGCGAGGAGGGGGCTGTTCAGGGGAGACGCCCTGGCTGGGGCCTGGCCCAGTAACCTGTATGCTCTGTGACAGGCCAGAGCCCCAGGCAGATTAAACAACTGCCCCTGCCAGACGGGGACGAGGGTGGAGCCCGGCCTGGCCACAGCCTGGAGCCAGGCTGAGCTGCCCAAAGGCGCCCGCCGCCTCTTCGCGCCTCCCAGGCTCTAGGGGGCGATGGCGGCCGCCGGGCTCCAACTGTGCAAATCTCAGTCGCAAACGTGGCTACTGCGCCGGCTGACGTCATCTGAGAGCGCCGGCAGCGGGGAGGTGGGGGTGCGGTACCATGGCGCTTTTCCTCATCAACAGGTAAGCGGGAAAGAGAGAGAGCTGGGGTCGGGAGACGAACGGAGCCCGCGGGAGGGCGCGGCGCGTGGAGCAGAGCACGAGGAGGCGGCGGCGGCAGACAGGCCCACGTGTGTCGGGGGAGGGGCGGCGCTGCTGGGGCCTGTGGTGGGCGTCCCGCGGGTGTGGCGGAGACAGGCTCCGCCGAGGGCGGGTGTCGGGGGCGTTACTGCCCTGCCAGGCTGGGCAGAGACTCGTAACGCGGCGTTACTCCTGCCGCTCATCCACGTTACGTGAAATCGTATTTCACACTGTGTATGGGGGATCCACCCCATTCCCGACCCAAACACGCAAAGCAGCCCCCCAGAATCACGAGATTGTCTTAAAAATCCTGAGATCGTTTTAAATCATGAGTTCTTGTGGTTTGCTGTCAGGTTTTGGAGCCGTCAGGCTGCACCTGTGTCATGTTTTCAATATTTTCTCTAGGGTCATAAGACTTTGGTTTAAATGCCTGCGTTACCGTGGTTAATACAAGATTACAAAAGGAAGTACTCTTAATTGGCTACAAAGATGTAGACTAGAGCAGTGCTTCTTAATCAGAGGTACATGTACCCCTGGAGGTACACAGGTCTTCCCGGAGGTACATCAACTCATCTAGATATTTACCTGATTTTACAATAGGCTACATTAAAAGCACTAGTGAAGTCAGTAGAAACAAAAATTTCATACAATTACTTGTTTGTTCTGCTCTATATACTAAAATGTAAGTACAATATTTATATTCAAATAGATTTATTTTATAATTATATGGTAAAAATGAGAAAGTAAACAATTTTTTGGTAATAGTGTGCTTTGACACTTTTTTGTATTTTTATGTTTGATTTTGCAAGCAAGTAGTTTTTAAGTGAGGTGAAACTTGGGGGGTATGCAAGACAAATCAGACTCCTGAAAGAGGTACAGTAGTCTGGAAAGATTGAGATCCACTGGCCTAGATTATTGTGCCTTCCTATGATATCTAGTTGACTGTGAAACTGAATTTTGTTGCCTTTTCTCTGCCAGTAAAAATGTGAAAAGGGTGGTTACAGCCTTGTTGTAGTGCTTGCTGTGGTATGTTTAAAGTGTTTTCTTTGTGAAACATTCAGATACCTTGGCGGTGAGGAGGATGCTACTGAGGACCGGTCACAGGCCCTGTTAGAACGGCTGCGGGAACAGGCTAGAGCCAGGCAACTGAAAAAGCAGCAGCAGGTGCCTTTGCCTTCTGATGAATTAAAACAAAAGAAAACAGAAAATGAACTCCACCAAAAGCTCAAAAACTCTGGATTTGATTCTGAAAATGAATCACAGAGAGAGGCAAAAAAGAGGAAGAGAGGACACAGTGGTGAGGGTTCCTGTGGAGAAGGGGAAAAGAAGCTGAAGAAGAACCACCAAGTGAGCAGTGATTCTGAGAAGCCTTCAGCAGGGGCAGATTCTGGCCTAGCTGGTGAGGCTGACAATGGCTACATTCCAGCTAAGAAGAAAAAGAAAGAAAATGGGAAAAAATCAAGTCTTCCTCAAAAGAAAATTGAAGCAGGTGAAAGCAAAACTGAAAGTGTAGGATTTAATTCTTAAAATTCAATGTCAAATTATTTTTTATTTTAGAAGAAAGTGCAAAATTCTGACCTTCTGGGTCTGGTTTACAACTGGAACCTGGAAATTGGTGTGTGAGGGTAGGGGGGCATGCACATAAGTATGGAAAGTTAACCACTGATTTAACAGTATCAAAGGGCAGTTAGAGCTACATCAACCTTAGGATTGGAAAGAGAGATGAGAATGTAAGTGGATTTTTAGATCCTGGAAAGCCTAATTAGTAAAAATACTTCCAGTTTTTTAATCTGTCCCTCTGTCTCATTTTTAGCATTTTATTCCTTCTACCAATATTTCAGATCTTGATGAAAACAATAGACAACAGGAAAATAAAAGTAAATTGAAGAGACACCAAGCTGCGAGGAAGAAGGAGAGGGACATTCCAACAGAAATTGAGACAAATGGAGCTGAAGTGAAAGGGAATCAAAGCACAAAGGAGGAAGTGTCGATACCTACTTTGAATGAAAAAGCAACACCGCCACCCTCTAGTTTGTTGGTTCTGGGAGGGTATGACAAAAGAGCAGTGCAGAAGGTAACCAACTGGCCAGGGATTTTGTTCTGATTGTGTTATTTGGGTGAGAGAAGGAGTATTCTAACATGCTTTATAAGTAGCATTGTCAGGCTTTATGGTAGAAGTCATTTAGTTAATACAGAGATTACTAGCCTTTCTAAATAAAATTTTTTTTCCCTATAAACGATAAAGTATATTTTAAACAAGAGTTTTACACAAAAAATAAAATAGTGTTACTGATTATACCATCTGCTTGATAAATTTAAAACAATGGTGACTGTAATCCTGATGTATAATAATACATGGTTGACTGCCCTTTCATTTCAATTTGCTCTTCAAATGTTTTACTGTTTTTCATTTTTTAATGGTATGGTCAGTGTGTCAGGTCCCAATCCTGAAAACTCTTTGTGCAGATACTAAACTTTCAATTGTATAAGTGCAGAGATGCACAGTTTTGGCCTATCTTCAAGCCTGTAACTTGCTGCTTGTGTGTTACTTTGAGAGAATATGTTAACATTTTCTACAGAAAAGTTCATATCCTCTTAAGTCTGAGTGCATAAAATCTTGCCCCAATAATTATTTTAAAAATACTGAATACTAATTAGTTACTGATTGTGTTACACTAACTTTTTCCCCTGGATTAAAGGAACTTCAACTTCAGGCCAATTGCTGAGAATCTGTTTCAGGATTCATTCACTTTTTGTTTCCAGGTTCAGCCCATCCTACCACAGTGGCTTGCTCAACCCAAGCTGGTCCATAAACACATAAAACAGAACCTAGTCCCAATACAGGAGGTTCCAGGAATCCATCCCAAACTGCTAAAGAAGCTGCAAATGAATGGAATAGAGTCTTTTTTCCCAGGTACCTTTAATATTTTGTTTGGTCTCTCTCTCTTTTTTTTTTTTTTTTAATCAGCTAACTTCTCCAATATTCAAACCGCTCATGTCATGTGTTTGTGTATGATATAAAGAACTTACTAGAAAATCAGGGCTCTGGGGCATGCTTGAGATAAGTGATTTTTTGGGGGGCGGTGGAAACAAATTCCAAAATTTCCCCAAAGCTGACAAGAATATGATACTTTAGCCAGTGTGGTGTGGATTTGTTAACTTTAAATTAATTTAAACCAATATGTAAAGTGGTTACTTAGGGACCAGTCATCTTCACTACCAGAGCTGGATGGAGAGAAGAATTAGGTACCTATATGACAGGTTTCAGAGTAGCAGCCGTGTTAGTCTGTATCCTCAAAAAGAAAAGGAGGACTTATGGCACCTTAGAGACTAACAAATTTATTTGAGCATAAGCTTTTGTGAGATACAGCTCACTTCATCGGATGCATGTAGTGGAAAATACAGTGGAGAGATTTTATATACACAGAGAACATGAAACAATGGGTGTTACCATACAGACTGTAACAAGAGCGATCAGGTAAGGTGAGCTATTACCAACAGGAGAGCGGGATGGGGGGGGACGACGACGACGACACAGGACTTTTGTAGTGATGATCAATGTGGGCATGTTCTTGTCAACTGCTGGAAATGGCCCACCTTGATTATCACTACAAAAGGTTTCACACACACACACCCCAGCCCTCCCCCCCCCCCCTTTGCTGGTAATAGCACACCTCAGTGTCACAGACTGATCCATCTTAGAAAAAAACTTGCTGTTCCATACTTGGACATGAGGTGGAGCTGAGGTATTCCTGTGTATATGTAAAAAGAAAAGGAGTACTTGTGGCACCTTAGAGACTAACCAATTTATTTGAGCATGAGCTTTCGTGAGCTTCAGATGATGAAGTGAGCTGTAGCTCACGAAAGCTCATGCTCAAATAAATTGGTTAGTCTCTAAGGTGCCACAAGTACTCCTTTTCTTTTTGCGAATACAGACTAACACGGCTGTTCCTCTGAAACCTGTGTATATGTAGAGGTTCTGACATAGGCTAGGTAGGGACAAACCTCTACTGGAAGGTCTTATTGGTAGCATGTATGTTGCACATTGTTGATTTGATTAAGACAAAGGAATGAAAACAAACGTAGAATTATTACAATGGGTTAATGCATTAACCTTTCACTTTTAAAGACTTAACTAATTACATCTGTGATCTGGATTTATCAGGTCTTAGTCTGCATCAGAAGACCATCAAAGGACTGCAGCTCTAGCTCAGACGTTTTCTATTTTAAATTATTTCACTGTTTAATATTTTGCTGTGCTAGAATATATAGCAGAGTGTAATGAGTTGCTGGTATGCTATCCTCAGTTACTCTCCTTATGTCAATCACAGATTCTTATACTTTGAGGTCCAGAAACCCCTGTGTTCAGTTTATCGTATACACTGGCAGGAAATACGTTCAATCATTTACTGCTTGTACTGTCCATGTAAATAGTTTTATACTATTAATCAAGAAAAAGCTAAACCATAATATGCTGTGAGGAAGAGGCTCATAGATGATTTGTTAGTGGATATTTAGTTCAAAGCTGGCTAATAAGCCACAGCTCTCCGAAGGAGAAGGGAGAGAAGTCACAGGTTTCAGTCAAAGCTTTTGTCCTGAATAATTTGCTCTCACTTCATTTGTAACTTCTCCTCAAGGCCCCAGAGCTACAGGAAGCTGGGCACCATCAGCTCCTACTGAAGTTGACATGAGTTGGGAGCATTTAGCCCCTTGCAGGACTAGCTCCAGATGAGAGCAAGAACCATCTTTTTAGGCAGAGAGTACACAGCTGCCCTCAGCCTTGAAGGAACAGACTCTGTGCTGTCTCCCAGTGAAAGGAAGATTTTAAAAAATACTAAATAGTTATATGGTTATTCTTGTTAAACTCCTGCCTAAGATCATTCTGTTCACACTTTCATCACCTTGATACATAGGCAAACAAGAAAAAAATATATAATGAGCTGCAAGGAGGTGCTAAGTTCGGATTTAGGGACAGCTGAATTACTTGTATAGGGAAACCCACATAATCATTGCCTAGATCTAGTCAGGGCTCACTTTCAGAATCAATAAATTGACTTAATCTTTTGTTTATAGCCCGTTAAAAAAGACCCTGATGAAAAGCTGTGAAACAGCTTCCAAAATGAGTTGGGGTTCCCCTTGAGTAGTGAAGAGCTCTTTTGAACTCCAGATCTTCCATATTTGCACCAGAAAACCTAACTTAACAGCAGGGAGAACACAAGGCTTTCCAAGTCACAGAAAGAGATGACATTGTACAGTTTTTAATAGCATTTGACGGATAGACTTTGGCCAGGTTGTTGCTTTTACTGATCCTCATTTTCCTTCTGTTCAGTTCAGGGGGAGGTGATTCCTGCCATTTTGGAGAGTGCATCCAGTGGCTTATTGGTAGGGAGGGGAGGATGCCAGCCCAGCGATATCTGTGTCTCGGCCCCTACAGGCAGTGGTAAAACACTGTCTTTCGTCATCCCTGTGGTACAGGTGAGTTCAGCCAAGGTGTATAGTTGTAACAGAGAGGGCCACAGTTGCCTTTGTTTCTCAGCAGGGCTGTAAAATGGAAGCCTCTTGAGGTAGGTAAGAAAGTCGGGAAGAAACACCAACAAAAGCACTGAGGCTTAGAACTGCAGAGTTGCCTAGATACAATTCCCATTAACTTCAGTGCCCCATCCAGCTTTCGTGGCCAAAGAACATAATGTGAGGAGTTGAGGAAGACCGCGGGGAATAAATGAATTAGTAAATGTTGGGGGATTATGAGGATGCTGCCCACTTGCCCAGACTGGGCACAGAGACCCTACTAGCTTTCAAGTGCTCATATGGCCTTTGTTTTAGCAGGCTCTGTTACAACGAGTGGTTTGCCAGGTCCGAGCTCTGGCAGTTTTGCCCACCAAAGAACTTGCACAGCAGGTAAGAGACTTTTTTTCCTTCCTTTCTCTAAGCTGAATTTAAGTCAAGTGAAAGGCTGGTGCTTTAAACCCACTGCCCGAACACATGTGATTTCTACCATGAGAAGTAGGTTGAAGACTAACTGGGTTTGATGCTGGTGAACATAACAGAAAGCATTGTCATAAACAACTGTCAAAGTAGCAAACAAATCTCATTTCCCCTCTGCAGGTGAGTAAAGTATTCAACATCTACGCTGATGGGACAGGTCTGAAGGTTGTTTTGGTTACTGGGCAGAAATCTTTCAGGAAGGAGCAGGAGACTCTTGTCCAGAGAACGTAGGTTAAATATGCTTTTGGATAATGTTTTACAGCTCAAATGTCTCAACCCCTTATCTCAGTGCATGGAGAGGTTGAAGTGTAGGCTATTGCATCACGTGTTAGGTTGCATCACGTTAGTTTTTCTGAATACTAGGTTCATATACTGGATATTGTTTAAAATCTCTGCTTGCCAGAATGCTAGGAGCAGCGTTTTTCTAAAGTTTTATTAGCTTTAGTAGGATAGAAACATGTTACCTGTGACTTTGAGTATGAACTGCTATTTACGCAATAGTCTGTCCTTGGGATCAGCAGCCCCATTCGGGGCTGAGGGAAGAAGTGGCTATGTCTGTCAATTGCACCTTCAGGAATCAAATTGGTCATGAAAGTGGAAGGGTGGAGGATGTCCCTCCTTACTGGGATCCTTAGCACTTCATGCTTTCTGCTCTTGTCTGGTGTTATAAGATCTGTCTCTTTCCGGAGCTGATTGGTTTTTTTAACCACTGCCCCAGGAAATCCTTTTGTTCTCCAGTGGCTGCTTTGTAGGTTTGCTGTTTGTTCGGCCTGGGTTTCAGTTCTGTCCTCTTATTTTATCTTCGCAATTAGGTTCTCCAACACAGACACGCCTGCTTCTAAGAGAACCTGGGATTGGGGCAATGGTGATGGCCTGCAGCCCACATTATAACACTGGCTAAAAAAAGGGTTACACACCAGATAATTTCCAATTATTTAACCATGAAGCATTCTCCAAATCTGTCTGAAGTAAGCTAGTTCTCCATCTCAGCTCTCCAGAGCAAAGCATGGCCTCGAGTATCCTACATACACGTTCTTTAATGTAAATGATATGTTTGACTTCTTATTCCTCAATTAAGTGAAGTGAGAAAGGAAAGCGGAAAAAAAGAAAACCAGATACTGGTTGGTCACAGGAACATGTTATATTGACCTCACTATACTGTGCACAGCAGGAAGCAGCTGGGTGACAGGACATTTTGTCTTTTCAGAGTGATGGGTTACTGCAGTCTGGCTGATATCATTGTGGCCACACCTGGACGACTTGTGGATCATATTGACCAGACTCCAGGGTTCAGCCTGAGACAACTTCGCTTTCTGGTGAGTTAAAACAATCAGATCTACTGAGCTGATTATCACAAGGCTCTTTGTGTCTATAATTCCTACTCTACATCTTTTTGTACTTCTGGTGCATATACACATCTATGTATAGGAATTGCCATGCCATTCAGATTATTGGCCATCTAATCCTAGTATCTGCCTCCAGAAAAGGCATTTTATGTAAACACCTGGAGGGGAAAAAATCTACCAAAAATAAAACTTAAAGGGTCTAACTTCAACAATCAAAACCAAGATTTCACAGTAAATTATCAAATTTATAATAACTCACCAGCATATCGGAGTATGCACTGGGATCACATTTATTTGGTGCCTTATTTATTCAAGGTATCCGAGATCTGATTTCCCTTATGTCATTTAAAGCCACGTGGTGTTTATTAGCCAATGGATTTAAGTTAAACCAAATCTATTTATCATATGGGACTCAAGGTTGCCCTTCGGTTTGGCCACTGAATACAACAAAACAAGATTGGATTTTTTTCTAAAAGATATGATCTAGGAATTATTTTGGAGAAGTTCTTTGTTATACAGGAGGTCAGACTAGATGGTCACAGTGGTTCCTTCTGGCCTTGGAATCTATGTATCAGGTATTTAGATGCCTATGCAAGGACCCAAATTTAGGATTCAGCTCCCATATTAAAACTGTGCTTTTTTTTTTTTTTAAGCGAAGTAGTTTGGCTGATTAGAAATGTATGCATATACACAAGGGTCGTGTGTGTGCACACTCCTTTCTATCATTTGTTTATCCCAAGCAGAAGTGTCTTCTCCCTGTTATAAAGAGTGGGGTTTAATGTGTGCAGGAGGAAAGCTACAGCACCAAAAGGAGCCTAACAACAAGGGCTGTTTCTGTCTGAGTGCAGATTATAGATGAAGCTGACCGTATGATAGATGACATGCACCAGAACTGGCTGCATCGAGTGGTAAAAGCAGTGTTCCGAGCCGAAGAGGACTCTGGCACCAACATGCTTTTCCAGAGGACAGAACCGGGACCTGTAACGGCAGCCAGGTAACTTGGAAAATGCACTCTGCTGAATCACTACTACAGAGGAGGACTCCAGGTTAAGCCTCTATTCAGTGCTGGTGTTTTGTTGTCTGCTCCATTTGGATGTTGATTTTTGTGTACGCTCCAATACTCATTCAGTTAGAAAACATACTGCTAATCAAGTCTGCTGTTTTTCAGTGGCTTCAAAATGCAGATGGCAAAGAGCTGATGCTAGGAATTGACCCATGCTTTTTAAAGTGAATTTTACCAACTGGATCTATTGATCCTTTCTCCAGCTAGATTAGGGTGGTATTAAAGAAACCAAAAATGTGCAAAACTTTGAGGATCAATCGCTATGTTTTTATAGCTGACTGAGTTGCTCCAGAACTATCACAGCTCCCCTATAAGGAGATTGGCAGAATGTTTGCTGGACCACCCCTGAGCTATTCATCTGTAGTTGCTGTTTCTATGTAGCATCATAGACATGCATGGCCTTTCTCAGAATACATACAGGCAGGTTACCTGCCCAGAACAGGGTTAAGACAGAATAACAGGAGGAGAAAGTTGAGGGAGGGGTTGAGGTAGGGTTAGGACCAAGGCGAAGACACGAAGATTGCCTGTTCACTTGGGAAGCTGGTGTATGCACTGGGGGAAGGATGGGGGGCTTACAGGTTTTTTTTTTAGTTGATATTAACTGCTTTTATGAACTAATTAGAGCACTAGCAGTATAAGCAAGCTTAAAGGGGCAGGGGGTTGCAAAGTGACTTGCAGAAAGTGGATTGGGTCAGGAAGAGAGTTCCAGGAAGAGTTAACGACTCCTCAGATTTTTTAGATGTTGTTAGAGGGGAGGAGTAAAATGTGACATTCCTCCAGTCTGCCGTAATGCTCAATGCCTGCACGCTATCTGTCTCAGCACCTGCTGTCCCCAGATACCACTACAGAAGTTGCTGTTCTCAGCCACACTGACTCGGAACCCAGAGAAACTGCAGCAGCTGGGCTTGTACCAGCCTCGCCTCTTCACATCTGTCTACTCTGAGAAACAAGCCGTCACAGCTGGGACAGAAACAGAACAGGATGCTGAAAAGAAATACTCTCTCCCTGAGGGACTTTCGGTAAGGTGATTTATCCTCTCGCAGCCATGGAAGGTATCTTGCTGGGCAGCTTTCCAACAGGGAAGGAGCGTGAATAGGTTACATCTGAAGAACACATCAGACTCAAAGCAGCTTGATCTGCTTCTGGAAATAGGGTTACATTTTCCCTTAATTTTATCCCATGAATAAAAGCATTTCTTCCCCAGGCAGCCTTGCATTACTGAGGATTAGGAGGAGAAATGGTTAAGAGAACAGATAGGTCCTACATATGTAGCTCTACATATGCATACCTGTTGATGGATCTCCACCTGTTCATCTCAGAACAGGGCTTTTTTACACAGATACTCCTTTAAAAGAGGATGAGAAGCACCATCAGCACTAAGGAGTGCGATAATAAGATAAGAGTAATACATAGCACTTAATCACACTTTCCAGGTGTAGATCACAAAGTATGTAGCAAAGACAAGTATACATCATTATCTTCTTTTAGAGATTGGGAAATTGAGGCACAGTGTTGTTTTTGCCTGACGCTGCACCGTATATCAGTGTCAGAGACAAGACTAGAACACAGGTCTCCTGCCTCAGTCCTGTGTTGTCTTCAACCTTTGGAGAGGTTGAAGTGTTGTCTACCTTCCCTGTATAACTTGTCCCAAAGGAGATGGCACTGTGGGATCAGTTATCTGTAATAGTGAATGTGTTTGTAAGTAAGAAGCTCAGACAAGTAGGTTTGGGGAAAGAGTCCATGTGAAGAGCAACGTTTTTAAAATTTACTGTTTCTTCTCTGTCCCCTACAGCAATATTATGTACCTTGTAACCTGAATTCCAAACCTTTGTTCCTCTTGTATTTCATGCTGAGAATGAAATTTACCCGGGTGCTCTGTTTTACCAACTCCAAGCAGATTTCCCACAGGTGAGTTCATTGATGGGGTACTTACTATGTGTACCTGTATCAGTCAATAGGGTAAATTCATGACTCTGTTTTATCTCCCCACCCACTTCCAAATAGATTGTTCTTACTGATTCGAGCCTTTGGTGGAGTGAATGTAGCTGAGTTCTCTTCCTGGTTGACTCCAAGTGAGAGACAGAGGACCCTGAAGGAATTTGAACAGGGGAAGATACAACTGTGAGTGTCTCAGATGAGTGTGTGTATGTGTGTTTGGGGGGTGGTTTCAGTACTGACCCACGCTACTTCCAGTGTAGAGGTTTCAGAGTAGTAGCCGTGTTAGTCTATATCTGCAAAAAGAAAAGGAGTACTTGTGGCACTTTAGAGACTAACAAAATTATTTGAGCATAAGGTTTTATGAGCTACAGCTCACTTCATCAGATGCATGTAGTGGAAAATACAGTGGGGAGATTTTATATACACAGAGAACATGAAACAATGGGTGTTACCATACAGACTGTAAGAAGAGTGATCAGGAAAGGTGAGCTATTATCAGCAGGAGAGCCAGGGTAGGAGGGGGACCTTTTGTAGTGATAATCAAGGTGGGCCATTTCCAGCAGTTGACAAGAACGTGTGAGGAACAGTGGCGGGGTGGGAGGAATAAACATGGGGAAATAGTTTTACTTTGTGTCATGACACATCCACTCCCAGTCTTCATTCAAGCCTAAGTTAATTGTATCCAGTTTGCAAATTAATTCCAATTCAGCAGTCTCTCATTGGAGTCTGTTTCTGAAGTTTTTTTTGTTGAAGAATTGCCACTTTTAGGTCTGTAATCAAGTGACCAAAGAGATTGAAGTGTTCTCCAACTGGTTCTTGAATGTTATAATTCTTGACGTCTGATTTGTGTCCATTTATTCTTTTATGTAGAGACTGTCCAGTTTGGCCAATGTACATGGCAGAGGGGCATTGCTGGCACATATCACATTGTTAGGTGTGCAGGTGAACGAGCCTCTGATAGCGTGGCTGATGTGATTTGGCCCTATGATGGTGTCCCCTGAATAGATATGTGGACACAGTTGGCAACGGGCTTTGTTGCAAGGATTGGTTCCTGGGTTAGTGTTTTTGTTGTGTGATGTGTGGTTGCTGGTGAGTATTTGCTTCAGGTTGGGGGGCTGTCTGTAAACAAGGACTGGCCTGTCTCCCAAGATCTGTGAGAGTGATGGGTCGTCCTTCAGGATAGGTTGTAGATCCTTGATGATGCATTGGAGAGGTTTTAGTTGGGGGCTGAAGGTGACGGCTAGTGGCGTTCTGTTATTTTCTTTGTTGGGCCTGTCCTGTAGTAGGTGATTTCTGGGTACTCTTCTGGCTCTGTCCATCTGTTTCTTCACTTCAGCAGATGGCTATTATAGTTGTAAGAGTGCTTGATAGAGATCTTGTAGATGTTTGTCTCTGTCTGAGGGGTTGGAGCAAATGTGGTTGTATCGTAGAGCTTGGCTGTAGACAATGGATTATGTGGTGTGGTCTGAATGAAAGCTGGAGGCATGTAGGTAAGCATAGCGGTCGGTAGGTTTCCGGTATAGGGTGGTGTTTATGTGACCATCACTTATTAGCACCATAGTGTCCAGGAAGTGGATCTCTTGTGTGGACTGGTCCAGGCTGAGGCTGATGCTGATGGTGGGATGGAAATTGTTGAAATCCTGGTGGAATTCCTCAAGGGCTTCTTTTCCATGGGTCCAGATGATGAAGATGTCATCAATGTAGCACAAGTAGAGTAGGGGCATTAGGGGATGAGAGCTGAAGAAGCGTTGTTCTAAGTCAGCCATAAAAATGTTGGCATACTGTGGGACCATGCGGGTACCCATAGCAGTGCCGCTGATTTGACGGTATACATTATCCCCAAATGTGAAATAGTTATGGGTGAGCACAAAGTCCAGCCACCACGTTTGCCGTGACATTATCAGGGATACAGTTCCTGACGGCTTGTAGTCCATCTTTGTGTGGAATGTTGGTGTCGAGGGCTTCTACATCCATAGTGGCCAGGATGGTGTTTTCAGGAAGATCACCGATGGATTGTAGTTTCCTCAGTGGTGTCTTGAAGATAGCTGGGAGTGTTGGTAGCGTAGGGCCTGAGGAGGGAGCCTACATAGGCAGACAAACTTGCTGTCAGGGTGCCAATGCCTGAGATGATGGGGCTTCCAGGATTTGCAGGTTTATGGATCTTGGGTAGCAGATAGAATACCCCTGGTCAGAGTTCCCCACCCCCTGCTCTCCTGCTGGTAATAGCTCACCTTACCTGATCACTCTTGTTACAGTCTGTATGGTAACACCCATTGTTTCATGTTCTCTGTGTATATAAAATCTTCCCACTGTATTTTCCACTACATGCATCTGATGACGTGAGCTGTATCTCACAAAAGCTCATGCTCAAATAAATTGGTTAGTCTCTAAGGTGCCACAAGTCCTCCTTTTCTTTTTCCAGTGTAGAGAGAGTAGTGAAAACATGTATGTAATAAAACAAACTCATCTGCAAAACTGAACTTGCAAAATCCAACTTGTGAACTGAGTGGGAGGCTTAGGCTATGTAAACACTACAGCGTACGTCGGTATAAGTTATGTCGCTCAGAGATGTGAATAAGCACCCTCCCTGAGCAACGTGAGTTACACTAACAGAAGCCCCAATTTAGACAGCGCTACATTGGCGGGAGAGTTTCTCCCACTGACATAGCTAGCGCCACTCGCAGGAGCTGGAGTAATTAAGTTGATGGAAAAGCCTTCTCCGTCAGTTTAGAGCACCTGCACTAGGAGCATTACAGCAATGCAGCTGCACTGCTGTAAGCTCTGTAATGTAGCCATAGCCTGAGACTCACGTTTTCTGAATTGTGCTGGTGCATTTGTGTGCATTTACTGCAATTTTTTGTACAGTTGAGCTACTTGTGTGTGCAGATAGCCTCTTAGAATCTAGCTGCTAAGTTGCATGGGCATTTGTCATGTGCAATGGCAGTAAATACACAAAGCACACATGTAATTCTGATAATCTGAGCCTTTCTGCTGATCAGGTTTTTATTGGCACATCATAGAAAATGGATGCCGCTTTACTGCGGGGGCTATAATGAACAAAAGTAATGTAATCTAACAGCAAGAACCTGTTAGACTAACTGTCTAGATTTTTGTTCCCAGGTCTGTCACTGATTTGCTGTGACCTGAGGTATATCACTTAATCATGTGCTTCAGTTTCTTTAATACCGATGGGGCACTGAGTACTCACTGCCTGACAAGTGTCCTTGAGAACCTTTCATGAAAGGGGAAACGTATTAAAATACATTTTTTTTTAATACAGACCTCTCTTTGCAGTGGCTGTTTGGCTGTCCTGTCTTGAATGCTTTGAGCATGAACATTTGGGTGCATTTTCAATATGGTTTGTGGGCATTTAGCTCCCAATTACTTTGATAGGAGTCGCCTGGCTAAAAATTCCACATAGCGTGCTGTTAATATCCTCTGTAGCTACCAAACCTGGAAACTCCAGTGGTGTCATGGTTTATGTCTATAGAAAAAAATCCTCCAGAAGTGCTTAGCATATCACTGGAATGGATTTTCCCCACAAGTGTCTAATATGGCTGGTATAGCTAATAAATCTGTGGTGTGATTCGTGGTACTATCTTATGCTCCAAAGACCCAGCCCTCTGTGTTTGTCTGGCTAGCTTGATTAGGGAGATTAGTAACATATTGTGAGCTGCTCCTTATCCAGTTACCAGAATTTGCAGTGTCATTGGGCAATGGCTTTATGCCATGCAAAAGACCTGGAAATGAATGCTACTAGTTTTTTTTTCTTTAAAACTTAAAACAGGTTAATCAGCACAGATGCCACTGCTCGAGGGATTGACATTAAAGGAGTGAAGTGTGTGATAAACTATGATGCCCCTCAGTTCATCAGGACTTATATTCACCGGTGAGTGGCTGAGGAATAAAAAGAAGAAACATGAATTCGGATTATAACCTCTCTCTTTTGGATGTGGCTTTTTAGACGTTAAAGCATTCTTCACGTACACAAAAAATGTATGTGGTGTGAAAAGTTTTTTAATACCATTGCAATAGAGCTGTTCGTTCAATATGAAAGTGGTTGTTCAATCAAAATTAAGCCTGTAGAGTCACTGTAGTGACACAAGGCCAGTCTAAATTAGGGCAGCTTCCTACTATACCAGGCCTAATTTATAGAAAATGTGGGTATTGCCCTGGACGGTCCCAAACACTGATGGCCTGATTTTCAGAAGCGCTGAGGGCCCCAACTCCAGTTGAAATAAGTGAGGACTGGAGGGTCAGCACTTCTGAAGATCAAACCCTGAAATGTTAACCTTTTGTGTTTATGTACAGGAGGCCTTCTTATACTGACGGTACTTATAGAAATAATCTGAATAGTCCTCTTCAGGTTTCAAGAACTCCTGTTGGGGCAAGATGGGAAGGAATGTGCTGCAGCTGAGGGGGGAGCAGATGGACAGTTAAACCAACATTGAGGTTGGCCTCCTTTATCTGATTTCAGAGTTGGAAGAACAGCTCGAGCTGGAAAGGCGGGATTAGCATTCACCATGCTCCTTAAAGTGCAGGTGAGTCAATAGTCATGGCAGCAATTCTGAAGTGAGGCACAGCAGAGTGGTGAGGAGGATGGGGTTAACGTAATTTTCCTCCATCCATTCACGTGCAGTCCAGTTCTGTGTACAGGTACTTTCCCTTCAGTGGTATCTGTACAGCACATTTTTCATAGACACTACTGTAATTACTCTTCACTGGTTGTGAAGATGTCCTGGCGTGGCTGTATTGAGTATGAATTCTTAGTTTTGCATACCGCATTGCATGAAGGGAGGTAGCCACACCGCCCCCCTTCACACACTGAAAGCAGTATGCCTAAGCTTCCAGATCTTGTGCTGAAAATGAACCGTTGATTTCCTGCCAGCATTCCAGGAACTCTGTTGCATTCCAGGCCTCGTGTGTGAATTCTTCAGGAGTTTGGGGAGACTGCAAACCCAGTTTTTAAGCATAAAAGTTAGGTCTTCTCAGAATTGAGCTTATATTTGTTTGTGAAGTTTATTCACTAGTAATTTCCAAACTAGATGGAGCCTCCCAGACTTGCTCAGTTCCCAGGCTCATGGTCTGACAGTGGTGGTGAAAAGATGAAGGGGGCAGCACCCACTTTCCTGAGTCTCCTCCTCCCCCTAATTTTCTGTATCTGTTTGTGATACAGGAGCGGAAGTTTTTGCAGATGCTGTGGGATGCTGGCACCCCAGATCTGGAGAAGCAGCTGGTGAAGAGCAAGTATTTAAAGCCATTGTTGCAGCAATATGAGGAAGCACTGTCCAAGCTCCAGAAAACTGTCAAGGTAACCGCAACAGTGAAGAGCTGCAGTATAAAATTCAGCTGCACAAAAAGCTCATTGTAACCTGCTGCAGACTTGAACGTCAGTTAGTGTTCAGTGTCTTAACCTTGGAGATCTATTGAGATGCTTGAGCCAGTAGAGAACAGAAGGGCCCTGTGTTGAAAGCACAGTAGGCATTACTTATTTTACTGCCTTTCTGCAGATCTGTTGATTTCCTCTAGTGCACTGGGGATTTGAGGGCTGGGAAGAGGAAGACAGAATAACTATGTGCAGAGGCTGAACCTTCTGTCAGATCAGAATTTGAGACACAATTCACCCAACTTGCAAATTGCATAGCTATGTTTTGAACTTTCAAGGAAAAGGGGTTCCATTTGCTGACCCTCCATTAGACAGGAGTTCTTTCATCTGTAAACAGAACATCAGTGTCCTTACCAGCTAAGCGTAAGAGCAGTCACACATGGTAACTGATCTGGGGGGAAGCTCCTGCTCTAGTACTTTGTGGAGAATCCTAAAACTAAAGTCAAGAGATTGGCGACCTGTCCCTGCAAAATAGATGGCTTTGGTGTCCAGCTTCTGGGCTTTAGCAGTGCTGGGGAAGTGGAGAGAAGGGAAAGAAAATGTGTCAAATTCAGCTGCATTTCTGCCTGTTTGATACAGTTTGTGCACAGCTGTGTGACCGTGTGACCCAGGCTCTGAGTATCTGCAGTCACCTTCTTTGTCTTAACAGGATGAACGAGCACAGAAACGAGCATGAGAGAGCCCAGGAGAGAAGACTGATGTATATTTTCCATGACACTGAAATCAAGCCAGGACTTATCACGTTTTTGCTGTTAATGGCAAGTGTCAGGGTAACAGTGCAGCTCCAGAGCCGATGGATTAGCTGCCCAACCTCCTAGTCAAAAGGCTAAATTGTCACCTTGCCAACAGGCATTGTGGACCTCACAGAGTGTGTACAGCCCCCTTCCATTCTGAGGGAACTGGCACCAAAGCTCCGATCTCAGTTTGAACAAATATTCTTTGCAGGGGAACGCTCTCTCCTGTCCTATTGGTATATTGAAAACTACCAACAGTAAATAGAACATCCTACCTTCTTAGAGTGTGCATCTGATGGAGCTTCCAGTTATCAAATTTGATGGGGCCAGGCCCCTCTTGGCTTTGCCTGTGGATCATTTCGACAAAGACAATTGTTCCTTCTCCTTTGCTGCAGACACATGATCTGTATCTGCAAAGTGCATCAAAAGCCGTACCATGTACGTAGCAGACTGCTGTCAATTCAAGAACTGTTCCAGGCTGGGGGTGGAGAAAAAGGATGTCTTAACTTTTGAAATAAAGAGTAACTTTAAAAATATGGTTTTGTTTTCTTGTAAAGGATGGTTCTGAGTAAGTAAAGGATTTTTTAGAGTGAACTAATAGTTGTTCTGGGTCCCTCATACCAACCTTTATTCCCCCTTTATCAAGTCAGGCCCGTGGTCATAGTTCCTGTTGGAAACACCAGCAGGGTTATCAGTCTAAATTACACCATTAATTATTCTGAAGTTTTACTGTTTACTAGGGCTGTCAATTAATCGCAGTTAACTTACGTGATTAACTCTAAAATTAATTGGGATTAATCACACTGTTAAACAATACAATACCAATTGAAATTTATTAAATATTTTTGGATGTTTTTTCTACATTTTCAAATATATTGATTTCTATTACAACACAGAATAGAAAGTGTACAATGATCACTTTATTTTTATTACAAATATTTGCACTGTAAAAAACAAAACAAATAGTATTTTTCAATTCACCTCATACAAGTACTGTAGTGCAATCTCCTTATGAAAGCTGAACTTACAAATGTAGAACTGTTTTATTTTTGAATGCAGTTTTTTTTATACAATGTAAAACTTTAGAGCCTACAAGTCCACTCAGTCCTACTTCAGCCAATCGCTCAGACAAACAAGTTTGGTTAAAATTTGCAAGAGATAATGCTGCCTGCTTCTTGTTTACAATGTCACCTGAAAATAAGAAGAGATGTTCACATGGCACTTTTGTAGCCAGCGTTGCAAGGTATTTACATGTTAGATATGCTAAACACGATGCGTACGCCCCTTCATGCTTCGGCCACCATTCCAGAGGACATGCTTCCATGCCGATGATGTTCGTTAAAAAAATAATGCATTAATTACATTTGTGACCGAACTCCTTGGGGGAGAATTTTGTCTCCTGTTCTGTTTTACCTGCATTCTGCCATATAGTTCATGTTATAACAATCTTGGATGATGACCCAGCACACGTTCGTTTTAAGAACACTTTCATAGCAGATTTGGCAAAACACAAAGAAGGTACCAATGAGATATTTCTAAAGAGAGCTACAGCACTCAACCCAAGGTTTAAGAATCTGAAGTGCCATCCAAAATCAGAGGAACGAGGTGTGGACCGTGCTTTTAGAAGACTTAAAAGAGCAACACTCAGATACCGAAATTACAGAACGCAAACCACCGAAAAAGAAAATCAACCTTCTGCTAGTGGCATCTGACTCAGATGATGAAAATGAACATACGTCGGTCCACTCTGCTTTGGATCATTATCAAGCAGAACCTGTCGTCAGTATGGACGCTTGTGCTCTGGAATGGTGGTTGAAGCATTAAGGGACATATGAATCTTTAGTGCATATGGCATGTAAATATCTTGCGGCACCAGCTACAACAGTGCCATGTGAACTCCTGTTCTCACTTTCAGGTGACATTGTAAACAAGAAGCGGGCAGCATTATCTCCTGCAAATTGAAACCAAATTTGTTTGTCTGAGCGATTGGCTGAGTGGACTTGCAGGCTCTAAAGTTTTACATTGTTTTATTTTTGAAAGCAGGGGTTTTTTATACATAATTCTACATTTGTAAGTTCAACTTTCATGATAGAGATTGCACTACAGTACTTAAGTGAATTGAAAAATACTATCTTGTTTTTTTTACAGTGCAAATACTTGTAATCAAAAATAAATATAAAGTGAGCACTGTACACTTTCTATTCTGTGTTGTAATTGAAATCAATATATTTGCAAATGTAGAAAACATCCAAAACTATTTAAATAAATGGTATTCTATTATTGTTTAACACTGCAATGAATTTTTTTAATCGCTTGACAGCTCTACTGTCATTATAAAACCACTTGTAACATGAACACACACACACACCATTAATGTGATTGCCCACAAGGGCAGGGCTAGCTCTAAACCTTTTATTGACACATTTCAACTGCCCCATATTATGTTTAGAGTGGCAGAGGTGGGCATGATGCTTTTCAAACAAAAGTTCCTGCTCCTTGAGCTTGCAATTTAAGTTAGACACAGTACAACTGGGGATTTCAAAACTATATTAAATGATCATGTAGCCTTCTGTATGTCAGTTGCGTGAGTTTAGTGTTTGAATTTTTTTTAAAGTTAATATTAAGCTAAGTTTGTGAAAGTAACATCAAGCATTGGTGGGATGGGGGAAGGCAGCCCTGGAAGGCTTCCAGAAAGTGGATTGGGGGCGGGGGGGGCTGTGAAGGAGGCAAGTGAAGGATAGGGCTTTTTGGGGGGTGGTGAAGATGGGTGACTAAATTATCTTGAATTGATTGGGGGGGGGTCTAGTTTTGTAGAAGGAGGGGGGAATACAATACCTTTTATCGCACCTGCATAATGCTAAAGCCATCTTTCATCCTCCATGCTGATACCCACCTTGCCTCACCCCCCTCTCTGCACAGCAGCTATTTCCTATAACGCACTTCCTAAGACCGACTACTGAAGTCACAGTCATGGTAAAGAAAAAGCATGTAGACCTCCAAGTGCTCAGCTGTTCTCTTGTATGAACAGGACCTGGGCACCTATCTCTGCATCCTCCCAATAAGCAGTGTTCTTTGAAATTATAATAAAACAGTTGGCCTTGGTTTAATTTTTTTTTTTTGTAAACAGGCAGTGCTGATGAAACAAGAGCCAAAGTCTCCCACTTTGTTTGCTGTTGCAGGGATGTTGCAATTGTTTGGGCAGAATGCTTTTCCATTTGAAGACTGATCCTGTCACTTTGTGCTTGCAGGTGTTGGCTGTCCTTTCAAATGAGCTGGCACAGCTTTAGCAGAACTTGTTAAGCTAAGAAGAATCAGTAAAGATGGTTCAATTTTAGAGGTAAAATGTCAAGGTATTGTGAGGGGGAGCTTCCACGCCAATTAAAGGAACGTGTGCACCATGCTGGAAACGTACCTTGTTGTACTTGGAAAGCAATAGCATGTGCAGGCACAGGCCCTATGTCATCAACTTCAATTAGAAAAAATCATAATGCTAAAATAAAGATAAAATGGGTGGGGAGGGGAAAGTAATTCAATGAAACAGGCCCCTGTGGAATAAAGCGATGTGATTCCTTACTTAGCTAATGTGCATTGTACTTGAATTAATGAGTTAATCAAGTTCTGCCTAGGGACCCAATTCTGCAATAAACTGCATGCAAGCAGTGGGATTGGAGCTCAAGTCTGTTAAAATGTCAGTGGGCATGACTGGGGTGGGGGAGAGAAAATGTTGTGAAATTCACTTAAATTTTCTACCTCATTGGCCTGCTCAAGGTAGAATCCTCACGATAATTTGTGGTCAGTAGCTTAGATAAACTAACCCAGTTTCCATACATATAAACCAGAATGTTTCCTGACAGGGTTCGGTGCAGGAGTGATTGTTACACTTTTATACCTACTATCTGGCACTTAAAATCTGTAACATAATACAGCTGATTTGTGGATAAAAACCTATATAGAAAAAAGTCATATAGTACCTAGCTCTCACGTAGTGCTTTTCATCCTGTGATCTCAAAGCACATTACAGAGGTCAGTGTCATGTAGTTGTTTTTCAGCATCATTCAGGGTGGGAGATTCCTTCACTAAAGCAGTTAAGCATTTAGACCCCCATCATGCAATGAACTCTGAGTGGGTGGAGGATTCTGGCCCCATGGAACTCAGTGCAGGATTAGAGACTTAGACCTGAATACATTGTGTGTACAGCAGCATGATATAAATTCTCTTGCTATCCATCCAGTGATGATTCAAGCTAGGATCAGTGTTTTAAAAGGTTTTCTCCCATTAAATGAAAACAGGGTGGGCTCATCCCATAAAGCACTAACAGTGCTAGGCACAAGACAATGTGTCAAGGGGTCAAATTTTCAAAACTGCCCTAAGTCCAATTTGCAAATCAGAGCTGACTCTGTATGAGACTTAGGCTCATAAGTCTCTGAATCACTTTTGAAAATAGGATTTAGGCACCTACATCACATAGCTGTCTTTGAGACTGTTGCCCATGGTCCCTGCCATGAACTGCAGACAGTCTCAGTACTGATGGGCTGAGGTCGGAAAGGACCCAGTGCTCATGATAGCTTTACTTCAGTTCTACTGTTTTGTTTATTGAGCTGCTTTAAATTATTCCTCATTATAAATAAGAGGACAAGATGCCTTTCATAAATCCAAGTCAATCTTTATCTACTTTTTGCCTCCCTCATCCCTCAACCTTTGTTCCCGTGGCTAGGAAATTTGCACTGGGGTGTTTCCAGCCTGAATGAGCCCTGCAGTCTCCTGATTGGTCCAAAGTAACTAGCAGCACTGGCTGAGTTGCTTACTAAAGGCTCTTAGCAGAGGTATGCAGAAGTTATTCTCAGTCCTGCCTCTAGGCCACCTGCTGCAGGCTGAGTTGCTGTGAGAGGCTCTTCTGCTGTAGGCTGTAGGGTTTCTCTCTCACTGAATCCCAGCTGCCAGAATGGTGGTAGAGCTTTTTCTGGATCTCCTCTCCCAGCCCTGCCGAGCCCTCTTTATATTTGCCAAAAAAAACAACATCCCATTTGAGTTCAAGCATGTGGATCTGCTAAAAGGTGAGTGAAGGGCACCTGTACCTGGGGGATGGACTGTGTGTGTGTTCTCTCATTACTCTGCTAGGGGGGTCCAGCAATAACATCTTAAGGGAGAACATTTGCTCTTAGGAGAATTGATCTGTGCAGACTATCAGCATGTTACACTTCTCAGGTGCAACTGATTCCCTTGCTCTAAACCCTAATGTATCTCTGTTTCTTCACACAGGGATTTTTGCCTTATTCTTCATTACTGACCTCCAGTTGACAGTGGAAATCTTATATAGGAAACTAGATGCATGAAAGAAATGTAGCCCCAGCTCTTCAAGCTCCTTTTTCTGCTGTTGTACTTTCACTTTGGGCCACTGTTGCATCCGATGAAGTGAGCTGTAGCTCACGAAAGCTCATGCTCAAATAAATTGGTTAGTCTCTAAGGCGCCACAAGTACTCCTTTTCTTTTTGCGAATACAGACTAACACGGCTGTTACTCTGAAACCTGTTGTAAT